AACCATGTACCATGAAAATATGTCTAGCCTACATTAATATACATTGGGAGTGTGATTTTGTATTTTTAAACAACACTAAAGTGTTTAAAAATTATAGATAGCATTTATCAGAAATTACAATTTTTTCAAAGGGGTTAACCCACATATTTCAAGAAAAATTAGAAATTTTTCTATTTTTTTAATGCATATTTTCATCATGCTCGGACATAGTATGAAGATTAAAGAGGTTTGAGACATTATATAATCCCCTTTCTCTAGAAATAGTGATTTTATAGGGGTTAGTATACTAATTAGATCGTATATGAAGTTTAAGTAAATCACTCGTTGGAAAGTTAGAAATGATGACCATGTAACATGAAAACATGTTTAGACTACATTAATATGTATTGAGATTTTGGTTTGGTATTTTTAAAGAACACTAAAGTGTTTAAAAATTGTAGATAGCATTTATCATAAATTTCAATTTTTTCAAAGGGGGTTAACCCACATATTTGAAGAAAAATTAGAAATTTTTTTATTTTTGTTTTAATGTATATTTCCATCATGATTTGACAAATTATGAAGATTAAAGAGGTTTGAGACCTTATGTTTTTCCATTTCTCTATAAAATAATGATTTTATAGGGGTTATGACACTAATTAGATCGTATATCAAGTTTAAATAAACTACGCATTGGAAAGTTAGATTTGATGACCATGTACCATGAAAATATGTTTAGACTACATTAATATACATTGAGAGTGTGTATAAGTATTTTTAAACTACACTAATGTGTCTAAAAATTATAGATAGCATTTAATAGAGAATTCAATTTTTTCATAGAGGTTAACCCACATATTTAAAGAAAAATTAGAAATTAATTTATTTTTGTTTTAAATCATATTTGCATCTTTAACTAACATATTATGAATATTAAGGAGGTTTGAGACCTTATTTGTTCCTATTTTCCTAGAAAATAGAGATTTTATAGAGTTTATGACACTATTTAGATAATATATCAAGTTTAAATAAACTACGCATTTGAAAGTTAGATATGATGACCATGTACCATTAAAATATGTTTAGACTACATTAATATACGTTGAGAGTGTGGTTTGGTATTTTTAAACAACACTAAAGTTTTTAAAAATTATAACTAGCATTTATTGGAAAATTCAATTTTTTAAAGGTGTTAACCCACATATTTCAAGAAAAAATAGAAAATTTTGTATTTTTGTTTTAATGCATATTTTCATCATGCTCCGACATAGTATGAAGATTAAAGAGGATTGAGACCTGATATGTTCCCCTTTCTCTAGAAAATAGATATTTTATAGGGGTTAGTACACTAGTTAGATCGTATATGAAGTTTAAATAAATTACTCATTGGAAAGTTGGAAATGATGACCATGTACTATGAAAATATGTTTAGCCTTCATTAATATATATTGAGAGTGTGTTTTGGTATTTTTAAACAACACTAAAGTGTTTAAAATTATAGATAGCATTTATGAGAAAATTCAATTTTTAAAAGGGGTTAACCCACATATTTCAAGAAAAATTATTAATTTTTTTGTATTTGCAATGTGAACTGACATATTATGAAGATTAAAGAGCTTTGAGACCTTATGTGTTTTCATTTCTCTACAAAATAGAGATTTTATTGGGGTTATGACACTAATTAGGTCGTATATCAAGTTTAAATAAACTATGCGTTGGAAAGTTAGATTAACTACGCGTTCAAAAAAAAAATCAAGTTTAAATAAAATATGTTTAGCCTACATTAATATACATTGATAGTGTGGTTTATTATCTTTCAGTTAGCTTAGTAACAATATGAGATATTAACATTTCCGTCTAGGAATTTTTTTAGATATGATGACCATGTACCATGAAAATATGTTTAGCCTACATTAATATACATTGATAGTGTGGTTTATTATTTTTAATCAACACTAAAGCGTCCAAAAATTATATAATGCATTTATCGGAAAATTCATATTTTTCATATGGGTTAACACACATATTTCAAGAAAAAATATAAAATTTGGTATTTTTGTTTTAATGCATATTTTCATCATGAAAGACATATTATGAATATTAAAGAGGTTTGAGACCTTTTGTGTTCACATTTCTCTAGAAAATAGAGAATTTATAGGAGTTTGTACACTAATTAGATCATATATCAAGTTTAAATAAATTACTCATTGGAAATTTCTTTAGAAGATAGAGACTTTATAGGGGTTAGTACACTAATTAGAACGTATATGAAGTTTAAATAAATTACTCATTGGAAAGTTAGAAATGATGAACATGTATCATGAATGTATGTTAAGTCTAAATTAATACACATTGAGAGTGTGGTTTGGTATTTTTAAACAATACAAATTGTCTAAAAAATATAGATATCATTTAGCGGAAAAAATCAATTTTTCAAAGGGGTTAACCCATATATTTCAAAAAGAAATAGAAAATTTTGTACTTTTTTAATGCATATTTGTATCATTAAATGAAATAGTACGAAGATTAAAGAGGTTTGAGACCTTATGTTTTCTCATTTCTCTAGATAATAGAGATTTTATAGGGGTTAGGAAATTAATTAGATCGTATATCAATTTTAAATAAATTACTAGTTGAAACGTTAGATATGATGACCATGTACCATGAAAATATTTTTAGCCCAAATTAATATCAAAACATGTAGTCCTTGGTAATATACTTATTTAAAGATTCATTAACCGAATAATAGTGTTGAAACTGCATAACAACCGCTTTGAAAAAATTTCGTCGTCTCTTGAAGATAACGTTAAAAATTACCCCTTTTTGAGGTTGTGGCCTAACACCCTATAAAATTTAAAACATATATTCTTTGATAGTTTCCTTATTTAAAGACTCATTAACCACATTATAGAGTTGTAACTGCTTAACAATCATTTCAAAAAATGATTCGTCGCCTTCTGAGAATAACATCAAAATCCACTAAATTTTTTGAGTTGTTGGCACTATGAATTTTTGAAAATTCAAAAAACATGTATTCCATGTTGGTATACTTATTTAAATACTCATTAACCAAATTGTAGTGTTGAAACTGCGTAACAACCGTTTTGAAAATGTTCCATCGTCTCTTGAGGATAACGTCAAAATTCTGCAATTTTTTTGAGATTGTGGGCTAACACCCTATGTTTTTTTTTTAAATTTCAAAACATATATTCATTGATAGTATCCTTATATAAAGAATCATTAACCACATGGAAAAATTCCTTAAAAATACACGGAGTGAATTTCTTTTGCTAAAAAAATACACCAACTTTTTGGGTTTCTCAAAAAATACACAGACTAATTTTGGTTGTCCGCAAAATACATGAATTTATGAATTTTTGAATTTTGGAGGTTTCACACCTTGATTTTAATGATGTTAACTCTGATTAACAGAACATTTAGACGCCGTTAGACGACGTTAACTCTGATTTAAAAGTTTATGTATTTTATGGACAACCAAAATTAGTCTGTGTATTTTTTGAGAAACCCAAAAAGTTCGTGAATTTTTTCAGCAAAGAAAATTTAGTATGTGTATTTTTAAGGAATTTTCAAGAATATACTAAGGTGACCAAGACATTGTTTTTTTGTTTGAATGAAAAAATGTAATTTTTGAATATATTTTGTTCATGTTGAGGCTGGTTTTTTTGAGTCGGTTCGGATCTATAATTAAAATACGTGTAAAATACCGGTAAATTTTGGATATGTATCATGTGATAGAGAATGTGTTTTTGTTCAGGTCTTTGGGTCCGGTTCTTAGATCCGAATATCTTAGATCTGAAAGACCTGGATCCGAAAAAAAACCGGACCAAACCTCCATTAACCTGAAGCTCCATTAACCAAATAATAGTGTTGAAACTGCATAACAATAGTTTGGTAATTTTCGCCGTCTCCCGAGGATAACGTAAAAATTCACAAAAAAATTCGAGGTCGTGGGCTAACTCTTATGAATTTTAAAAATTTTAAAACATGTATTCCTTGCTAATATATTTATTTCAAGACTCATTAACCAAATTATAGTGTTGAAACTGCATAACAATCATTTTGAAAATGTTTCGTAAACATCAAAATCCACCAAATTTTACAAAGTCATGGACTCACCACTATGAATTTTTGAAAATTTCAAAACATATATTCCTTGCTTGTATACTTATTTAAAGACACATTAACCAAATTTTAGTATTGAAACTACTTAACAACTGTTTTCAAAAATGTTTCGTCGTTTCTTGAGGATAACATAAAAATTCATCATTTTTTTCAAGGTCATGGGGTAACACCCTACGAATTTTTGAAATTTCAGAACATATATTCTTTGATAGTAGCCTTATTTAAAGACTCACTAACTACATGATAGTGTTGTAACTGATTTACAACCATTTTAAAAATGTATCGTCGTTTACTGAGGATAACATTAAATTTTTCGAGGTCATGGACAACACATCCTATGAAATTTTAAAACATATATTCATTGATAGTATATTTATTTAAAAACCTATTAACTATATTATAGTGTTGAAATTGCTTAACAATCGTTTTGAAAATATTTTGTATGATAGTATTACAAAATAGCCCATCTCTAAAAGCACCCCCATTGAAGGTTCAATGGGGGTTTTACACAGAAACCAATAACAAAAAAAAAATAAATAATGCTATTTTTATGAACCTGGGTCGTGGGGAGTTGTCTGCAAGAGGCGAGTTCATAACTGTTCTGCGGGCCCCACGCCACGTGGCGGCCCGCGATAGGTCCAATTTATTTTTTTTTTTTAAATAACGAGAAAAATAAAAAGAAAATTGGGAAAAGGCACGTGGCGAACCTGGGTCAAAGTTCGCTGGTGCTGGTGCTCTAAGGGCATTGGTTGGAGTTGGTTGTTGTATGATAGTATTACTATTACTAAGGGCATTATCGTAATTACCCATAAGTTATAGGCCCAAGGCCCTTAAATTAGCCCATCTCTCTTCCAGATTTCATTATTTCACAGAGTCCACCACAACAAACCTAATCTCACTCCTCACCTTTCTCTCCCGCTCTCTCCGCCGGCGGTAAAGCCATGTCGCACTTCGGAAGGTCAGGTCCGCCGGACATCAGCGACACCTACTCTCTTCTCGTCCTCAACATCACCTTCCGTAACCTCTCTCCTTATCTCTCTCTATAGACCTCGTTGTAACACTGTTCATTGTTATCGTTGTTTTCAAAAGATTTAGGGTTTTGGTTTGTGTTGTGTAGGTACGACTGCAGACGATCTTTATCCTCTCTTCGCTAAGTACGGAAAAGTCGTTGATGTCTTCATCCCCAGAGATCGAAGGTTTCAAGTTTCGTTTTTTATGAGAAATTAGGGTTTCGTTATTGTCTCACTGTGATTGTTACGTTGATTTTAGGACTGGTGATTCGCGTGGTTTTGCATTTGTTCGGTATAAGTATAAAGATGAAGCTCATAAAGCTGTGGAAAGGCTTGATGGTAAAAGCAGCTATTCAAGATCCCTTTTCTTTTTTCAGTGTATGTGTAATGTTCAGTTTCATTAAGGTTATTTATGTCTTTTTGTTGTCAGGACGAGAGGTTGATGGTAGAGAAATTACTGTTCAGTTTGCTAAGTATGGTCCTAATGCTGAGAAGATGTAAGTTTCTTTATCTTTTTTTTTATTGATTGTTAAAATTTTGTATTGCTATTTGATTATTACTAAGTTTCATACATGTAGCAAGATTTTCTTTTCTAATCAGATTTGGTATTTACTCTAGCTTATGTAATTGTATTTTGATTAGGTGAACAAAAAAGATTGTATATTGATTAGTTTGTAATTATTATTTCAGTTCCAAAGGAAGAGTTGTGGAACCACCTCCAAGGTCACGGAGGTCAAGAAGCCGTAGTCCTCGAAGGAGCCGTAGCCCTCATAGACGTCGTAGTCCTAGGAGAAGCCGTAGTCCTCGCAGGAGGTTAGTAGTTTCTTCTCTACTATTAACTCTAATGACTGTGAGGTTGGATTTGGCTGTTGTATTATAGTATAAACTATTACTATTCACTGTTCACTAATGACGGTGAGGTGGGAGTTTGTGGTTGTATTATACACTGTTACTCAGATTAGCTTTTGTTACTTGATTGATCAAAGTATTCCATCTTAACCGGACACGCTTGTTTAACTCTAATCGAGCTTCCTATATTTTAGGTCCCGAGATGATTACAGGGAAAGAGACTACAGGAAGAGGAGCAGAAGTAGAAGCAATGAAAGGCGTGACAGGCATCATGAGAAGGATAGGGAACATCGCAGGCGGAGTAGGTCTCGTAGTGCTAGCCCGGATGACAAACGCAGAGTCAGAAGCCGTTATGATGATGATAGCCGCAGTCGCAGCCGCTCCTTGAGGTCTTTTCCTTTTTGAACATTCTTTTTATATCCATTTTTATGCTCCACGCTATGTATAAATGATTCTGATCCTGACTTTATGACATTCCAGTCCTGTTCGCCGCAGCCGAAGCCCTAGAAGTGCCTCCCCGTCAAAAGCCTCTCCAGAAAGGCGAAGCAAAGAGAGGTCTCTATCTCCTGCTCCCCGCAGCCGTAGCCCAAGAAGTCCTTCCCCGGAAAAGGCCTCTCCTGAGAGGAAGAGCGATGATAGGTCTCCATCTCCTCGGGACACAGCTCCTAGTCAGTCTCCTAATCCAGAGGTGGGCTAAAGGCATAAATAGCTTTATGTATAGATCACCAATGAAAAGCTGATCTCTGACTTGTGTTTTGGTTATATCACTTGCAGGAATGAACGCATCCTTGTGAGGGAGAGACAGTGTATCAAAACATGTTTGCTTGAATTGATGATGTTTCATCCTCAAGCATAAGAGCTTCTACTCTCTGTAGTATTGGTTGAATTTCCGTAGGTGCTCTAAACTACTACTGTGTGTTTGTTTCCTGCGATCTTGAGACTTCCGTAGTTGTCTATGTGCAAGGATTATTGTGTTTGAGATTCTACATCTTTAATTAATAGACTCTGGTCTAGTTAAATCTTGTTTGTTTTTTTTGGTCAAGTTGCTAATTCCCTGGCTTGTCTTGAATTTTTCTAGTCTGGTTCGAGAAAAGAATTGACTTGGGAAGATGGCACAACCATGTTGAGATTGTAGCTGTTGCTGCTGTTTTTGAAACCGTAGATGATTGATGTCTCATGATCGTTGATAGATGTGTCATGCTTGATGATAGATGCCGGTTTCAACACCCTGATGAATCTACCCCTACCATATATAGTTAGCTTCTTTGTCTCAAACTTGTTGTCAAAATACCAAGAAGGCTTTGGTTAGTCCTGTGTTTGAATCTAGTTTTAAATTTATGGTAAATCATTTCTTCGTTCGGTTAATATTGAAAAAAATATCTCAGTTCGATACAAAGATGGGATCATGAATTACTAAAGTATAATATAGTTGTAGTTAGTCAATGGTGAGATGAAGAAGCTGAGTAAACTCCAATCTTCGAGTCTCATGGTAAAAAGTCTTATACTTATTAGGCCAATAAGTCAACCAAATAGACCCTTTAATCTCCCATTCCATTCTTCTCCCCATTGCTCCTTTACCAATCTTCCACACAACACTCTCTCCATACTCATCCCCCGCGAATATCACTCCTCCCCTCCTCGTAAACGACCTATACGCCCTCGCGTACCTATCCTTGAACCAAGACCTCGGGCTCATTATCGAAAACCTCGACGGCTTCGTCGTGAAAACCTCTCTTCCTCCGACACTGCTGTCGTACAAGATCCAGTTTAGATTGGCCGTGTAGCCGAGCACTGACTGCTCGAACTTCCATGGGGTCATTGTCATGGTCGAGGCTTCTCGTCCAGCTACTCTTAGACCTAAAGAGTTTGGTGGGTCGAAGGAGCCTTCTATGGACCTCTCGACCTCGAATTCTCGTCCCGGGTTGTTGGATGATTTGCTGACCGAGACGCTTATGAAGTCGGTTTGGAGTGTGGGTGTTATTTGCAAAGAGATTCTTGATGGGAAGTGCTTCTCGTGTTCTCCTGCTCCTTTTCTCGACATTAGTCTCTCGTTTACAAGCTTTATTACATCGTATCTGTATATGCATAAGAGGTCTTGTCACGTATGAATGTTTCATTTTGAAAAAAATTTGGACAACTCTCATAAATGACAGTAAAACATAAAAATCTCTTATATATCATTTATTTAATTAATAAAAACATTAGCTTATTCTACATTTAAACCATAAATCCACTTTTATCTTTAGAACATGTGTAATGGGGAGAACATCCGAAATCATTAGCACGATTTTCTAAAAACAAAATATTAAAATATTGTTTGGTTTGGTTTCTGTGTCCAAATCTGTCCAAAAAATTCTTACATAAAGATTGATTTTCGCTGAGTAACGTTATTGTGTTGTGGATTCCACGATACATGATTTTAATTAAATGGAAAAAAAATTAATAAAATAATAAAAATAAAAAATGAAAATCAAGCCAGTGTGAAAACACCATTGCACCTGCTCTTACGTGCTAAAACCTAAAATCTAATATTTTTTCTTATCTTTACGTGCTACTTAAAACCTAAGAATTTTTTGAACAAAAACTTATTTAGTGTTTCATATTTTCCAAAAACTTTTAGGCCATTTTTTGTGTTGGGACATATGTACCTGATGTTATCTATCTTCATAATCACGTCGATCCACTTGTCTCTAACTACAACTTTGTGATAGAACTGCATCACACCTTCGAGCTGATTAAACTTGAGAGAAAACAACAATCTCGAGTCAGAGGTTGGGTTGCTCGATCTCTCCACTTCCATGGCTTCAATAGGACAATACAATTGTACTTTCCACAATCCATAAGCTGAAACAGCGTAAGAGAACAGAGGAGTTGTCGTGTTCTTGTTACTCCGATTATCCTTACGCTCTATGATCCAATTTGTGATCGCTAGATTGACTGATCTCATCCATTGTTCTTCTAAATTAGACCCTAGAAGCTTCATAAGGGATGTTGTTGCTTGCCTTGCATGACAAGTAACCAAATGGTTCTTGAGGGTGATCAGGCAGTTTTCACGGAGATACAAAGGAGCTTCATAGACGCAAACTAAGAACGAGAGAGTTAGGATCACTGCATTGAAAATGTCTTTAAGGCCGTTGATCATTGAAGGATCAGGTTTAGGGACTTTGATGGTTGAATAATTGGAACTATTAGATGTATAGGTTAAGATAGATTCGACAAAACTAAAGAGTAGAGAGGTGATTGTTTGTTCATCATAAGGGTTTGGTGAGTTTGAGTTGATTTTGAATTCTTGTTTAGAGGTCCAGAGATATAAAGGATGATGATTATTGGACTGGACGATGATGGAGAAAGTGGGAATTTTAGGGTTAGGGTTTCTTTGTGCTATGAGAGTTAGGGTTGAATTTGGGAAATCAGAAGTTGAGTGGCAAATGCAAAAGGAAAGAGAATTTTTGTGCCATTTGGTGATTTGGGGAATGTTTTGTATCCAAGTGAATGCATCAGGGAACTTCTCGGACATCATTTTTTTGGTTGTTGTTGCTGTGGGTTAAGTTTTGCTTGCATACACACGCATATATAGAGAGATTTCATGTGGCGTGAACGTATTGCTTCATGTGCAGATTTTTTTTGCAAGAAGCAAAAATGAAGTGATAAGCATTAGAATTTGCTAAAAGTGGAATAATAACTATAGCATTTCGTAGGAATATTTCATCTATGGAGGGTTTGGATATACTGCTCGTGAATAATTATCAAAACTATCACTTCAAGAATTTTTCTTTTCACAAAAAAAAAAAAAAAAAAAAAAAATTTCTTGAACCAGCCTTATTCTTGTCTTTGGGAGAAAATGATAACTTAGTAATGTAACCAAATTAATACTGATCGAATGCTAATAGTTTTTTCTTGTTAATTGCTATTCAGTGTTTACTAGTGAAGCTTTTGAGAATTATGTGAAACTTAACATTCTTCGTTTACAAAAAAATTGCATGATTGTGAAAACATTATTTGCAGATTTTGATTGATTTTTTTGGTCATTCTGAATGTGATAGAGATGGCTACTGTTACTACGTACGATTTGCATGGCAAGAGTTGACTAATAAACGGAAAATGAAATTCAGATTCCTTGTCATAATTAAATATGGTTTATAAATTATATGTTCTATTTTGCTTTCAAATCAACAACGAAAATGTGTAAGAAAGTAATATTAGCCATAAGATTATTTCAACCACTCCCGCAGCGTCAAGTAAACAACTATGGATTTTGCATTAACTTACTTTACGTGTTCCTTTGGTTCACCCTCATCTAGTCATCTACACGATGGTAAAATTTTAGTTACAACCCCATTTTAGCTTCTTCTTTTTTCTTCTTACCTTACTAAATTGAGCCTTTTGGAATATTAAAAATTACTAATACAGTAAAACTTCTATAAATTAATAATGTTGAAGATTTAAAAATTTATTAATTTATAGAAATATTAATTTACAAAAGTTTTCTTATTTAGATTTTTTTTAATTTTAAGATATATTTATTCTAAGATAAGAAAAAATTTGATTTTAGTGTATAGACATTAATTATTATTTTTTGAAATTTGACATTTATATTAATTTTATTATATTGTTTGGTGTATATATATATTGCAAATTAAATGTGATTTTAAATATAATATTACTAAACCTCATCAAAATTATAGTAAGTGTTAAGAAAATATAAAGATAATTTCATTGTGAATATAAAACAACAATATCATGTAGGTTCTTACCTATATAAAATATGTATACATATATATTATTAATTTATAATTTTAATGGAACTATATATTTACATAGAAAATTCTAAAAAAAATTATCTTATTATTTTATTGATTTATATCAAATTTTGAACCGATCTAAGTTTTTTTTTGAAGAAAGACTTAACCCGATCTAAGTTGGCACCGAAGAAATTTATTAATTTATAGAAATTATTAATTTATAGAGGTTGTACTGTAATATGTTTTTACTGCTAACGTTTATATTTCTCATTTTTGGGAAGTTTTGTATAATTAAGTTCCTTTTGATACAAGAATACGTTACATATACCATACCAGGATACGATCAGTAGTCTTCAAAAACTTTGTTTTGTTTGGTATTTTCTACTTACTAAATTTAACAAAACCCTTGAAACTAACTATATACACTCTATATGGATTTTTTAGAGAACTAGATAATCTAAACACAAGTTTCTACCACAAAATTAGATAATTTAGATAGACATCCGCACGCTAAAGCCATTCATCACTGCTTTAAAATTCCTCTTTTCTTTCTCTTATTCTCTTTTTGGGAAATTAGCTAAGAAGTTGAGGATCTTCACCTGTCAAATTAACACAGTTTCTTGCTCCACACGCCTGGAGATGCTAGTTCCTGAATCTGGCACCATACCATTATCGGCACACGTGTTTAATTCCAGGCCAGATTAAACTCGAAAGCATCAAACTCACTCTAGGCCCATCTCCCTTGTAAAATTCAGTTCTTGGTAAAATGGGTACGATCCGATTTCAATATTTTTTATCTTCTTAGAGTAAAGTCATACACAAACTGTCTCACAAACTCTGGTTACAAAATGTTTACAAGTGGAAAAAAAAAACACGCAACGCAAGATCATCCCTTCACACCGCTTTTTCCCAACCGCTCTTTTCCGCCGAGCGTTTGGATTATAGATTCCAAGAGCTTAATCTCGTTATCTCGTTTGGATATCTGTTCTTGCATCCCTCGGAGCTCTTCCATATGCAGCTTGAAAACCTCTGCAACAATAGTTCACAAACAGTCTTCGTTTAATACCATCGTACCCAAGAAGCGCATTGATAATTACAAAAGTTACATTACTTGTGGTGTTTTCGAGCTCTTTAGTGACCTCTTGTGCACGTAACTCCGCAGCTTTTTGAGAGGACTCAGCTTGGCGTTTCTCAGAGCGAGCATGAGCAGCAGCTGTGATGGCAGCATCTAGTTCTCTTTCTAGTGTGTGCACCCTTTGCTCAAGCACCTTAAACAACAAACATGCAAACATTATCGCACTTGGATACTTCATAGTGAAACCTCAAAGGTCTATCCTTTCAGGATTTGGTGATCACTAGCATGACCACAAAACCAAACTACAAGCTCACTGTTATTGAAAAGAGCCAGAATCATATAACAACAAGACCTGGTTTAGTGCAATTTGGTGATCAAAAGCACAAAGATTCTAACTTCCGAACTCCTATGAGTTTCCAGATTCACCATCTTACGCAATTCTTTCAGATTAATACTATTACATTGTAACGAATCAACCTAGCTAAGGCTAAAGTAACCTAGCTTCCTAAAACAAAACAAAGAAAAACTGAAAAAAGGGTGAGTACACATGCAAACATTATTGCACTTCCACACTTCATAGTGAAACCTCAAATCTCTATCCCTTGATGATTTGGTGTTCATTAGCATCAATCATCATCAGTAAGCCCTACAAAATCAAACTACAAGCTCCCTATTATCCAAAAGAGCCTAGATTCATATAACAAGACTTGGTTTAGTGCAATTTTGTGATGATCAGAGCACAATTATTCTAACTTCTGATCTCCTACGAGTTTCCAGATTCACGAGTTTCCAGATTCACAATCTTACGAAATTCTTTTAACGAATCAACCTAGCTAAGGCTAAAGTAACCTAGCTAACAAATCAATCTAGCTACCTAAAACAAAACAAACAAAAACTGAAAAAAAGAGTGAGTACACATGCAAACATTATTGCACTTCTACACTTCATAGTGAAACCTCAAAGCTCTATCCATTGATGATTTGGTGATCATTAGCATCAATCATCATCAGTAACCCCTACAAAATCAAACTACAAGCTCTATGTTATCCAAAAGAGCCTAGATTCATATAAGAGCATCTCTAACTCCACTCCAAAATTTACTGCAAAACAGAGTAGTAAATATAATTTACTGCAAAACAGAGTGATGAACAAAAAAAAAATGATAACTCTAATAAAAAATGAACAAAAATGATCGCTTCATTTCCCATTCTATTTTGCAGTAAATTTTGGAGTGAGACTCTATTTTGCAGTAAATAATGGAGTGGGGTTGGAGATGCTCTAACAAAATAATTTGGTGATCAGAGCACAATTATTCTAACTTCTGATCTCCTATGAGTTTCCAGATTCACCATCTTATGCAATTCTAGGTCAACAACACTATTACACTGTAACAAATCAACCTACGCTTAAGTTTAAAAAAAAAACCTAACTAATACCAAATCGCACGATCCAATCCTCAAATCACAGATTCAATCATCAATCGATCAGATCGAATTCATCAAAATCCACGAAACAACGGACCTTGATCGTTCGAGCTTGTTCGGAGACGAGAGAAGCTCTAGCGAAAGTGTCTTCTTCAACGAAGACAGCTTTCTTGAGGAGAAGCTTCTGTAGAGAATCGAGATTCGAAGCCATCTCCGTTATATTCTCTAACGATCCCTTCCATCGATCCTCGCTCTCCTCCATCGGAAAAAAAAAAATCCTCTCTCCTTCCCGGAGAAAATCAAACTTTGACTTGTAGATCGATAAGCCCAATAAGAAGATTAATTGGGCCTTTTTTAATTTACATAACTCCGGCCCAGTAATAAAATTTCAGCCAATAAGAGGAGAGCACGAGTCAAAGTTTCGAGAACATACTAATGACGTGTACCAATGGTAACACAGGAACTGATAGGATCTCACGCCTGCTCTCTCGTCCACAAATTCTGATATTAAACTCAGCCCGTTTAACCTTTTGATTGTCTCCGCCACGTGTCGAAATCTTAGTCACTTGTCTTTTGATTCTCCCGAAACAAAATTTAAAAAAAAAAGAGAAGAAAATAAGGAAGCCTTCGTCGTCTTCTACCCAACACTTCCAGAAAGTCCTCTACACAGTTTTAACTTTCTCGATCTGGAAATCGGATACTAATCTAATCTTCGTTGTGGTTAGTTATTTGATCGGTGAAGTTTTGTTGGAGTTGCTATTGTGAGCATCTGTGTGCAGGTGAGTGTATTTGGAGTAGCCGAGTAGACTCTAGGGTTTTGATCGTTCTTACGTTTTGGTTGAATTTAATTTGAATTCGTGGTTCTTATTTCTCAATGATTGGATTAGTAATCGCAGCTGATGATTTCTCAGATTTGATTTTTTTTTTTTGTAATTATCATTTAATGCTTCATTTAACATCTACTTTGTTTATGAGCTAGTTATTATGAAGTAAACCATCTAGAAGTTGGGAGAATCGATCTGGTTCGGTTCTTAGTTGATGAGATTTGAGTTTGAGTGTTTAACTTTTGAAATGATGAATATTGGGAAAGGATTTGTGAATTTTAGGGTTTAGGATGATTATTTTTTCAGATTTTAATTTTGGTTTTGGAGTCTGGATAAGGAAGATGGAGTTTTTTTATTTGCTGGGAACATTCTTCAGCTGTTTAATATTTTTATGTTTCTTATCCAGATCTAGTTGAGGGGGAGTTGTATGTTTTTGCTATAGAGGGGGTAATGTGAATGATTTTTTAGTGGTGATTTAAAAGAGTCTTGAAGTTGGGAGGAATGTCGGGCTTGTGCTTTGATCAGGTGAGTTGAGTCACAGATCGTTTAATATGCATCATATGGTCTTGTGATATTGGCATGTTTCAATGTTTGTTCGTGAGGGGTGACATGTGTATAGGCTATGAGATTTTGATCATTTGCAATACAAGCCTCTTTGTTTGGAGTATTTTTTCCTCATAATATAGCATATATTATTGTTTGTGTATCTTCTTAATGCTTTCATTCTGTATCATTTTTCTCTCTTCTTGCTGATTTGTTTCTGTGTATCTTCTGATGTTTATACTCTGTATGATTATATCACTGAAGAGTTTGCTGGCATGTTGTTATCTTTACTTGAAGTTCTCGTTATTAGATTGGTGTCTTGCTAGCATTATTACATGCATCTCTCTTTATGATAACAACTCTAGCACTATATTTCATAAATTGCTTCTTGTTATCGCTACAACGTGGATGTGTGCTGTGTTCAAGTTTTGGTATTCTTTTGTTATTCCAATCGGTTTAATGTTTCCCTATCTTTTTTCTTCAAGTTGCTAATTGGTAGCTGTTTTCTTTTCCTATCTTTTTCAGCTAGACGATAATATATCAGTAGAATTTCATGGTAACGATGATGGTATAGTGCCAAACTCCGCGTATGAGGGCAGTAGCAGGAAGAAACAAAGACATGAAGACAGGTGTAGCGGAAAATACCACTTAAAGAGTAATACTTTTATCAAGAGGGAGGACGATATGTTAGGAAGAAATCACTGGTCTGAGAATAATAGTGCTGTCTCTCCGGTTTCTCGTGATGCTGGACCAGACAAAGATGTTCAGGATATGACACTTGAGGATGCAAAGATCTCAGGTCATGGCTTCAACGGTGGCCACGTCAACGTGGCTGAGAATTTCAGCTCCGCCGATCCCATGTTGTGTGACAGTTCCACTGCAACAAATGATGGCGTATATAATAATTATTCCGTCAACAACATTCCAGATGCTGATAATAATCTCAGTTTTTTGAATAGTGGAGATAAAGAAAGCAATGATCTCTTCTATGGCTGGGGTGATATTGGGAATTTTGAAGATGTGGACAATATGCTTAGGTAACATTTAAAATAATCTCTTTGAGAAAAACACATGGGGGCACATCCCTTATAAGGAAACATACTGTATTGAGCTTACACTTGTTTTTTTTTGGATGCAACAGGAGCTGTGATTCAACTTTCGGGTTGGAGAGTATTGATAATGAAGATAACTTGTGCTGGTTCTCTTCTGCTCAGCCAAATGAAGATACAGAAATCGCGATGACAGATGATATAAAACCAGACACAATGATGGGAAACCAAAGAACCCCTTTGTTGCAGGTTGAAGACTTTCTTAACAGCAGTGAGTCTAACCATGCTGTTGAAGATGAATATGGTTATACCGCTGTCACCGGCTCAACTCAAGGAAACTCCTCAGAAAAAGGATATGATACAAGTTTGCAGAAGAGTGATATACTGATGCTGGATGAAGAGGTTAGTCATTTTTTTATTTTAGATATATTACCTTGTATGATGAAGTTGGCTACTTACTACATGTTTGGCATGCATTGCATGTTCTCAGTGTACGATAAAACTAGTGTTCTATTATGTAAATATATCCAGTGCTGAAGTCTTGGTACTCTTCCAGCAATTCATATCAGTTGCACTTTTTTGTTATACAGGCTAACCTTGAAAAGAAGCAGACTGGTCATCTTCATCATCTTGATGGGAAAATTGGTGGGTACTCGGAGAATAGTTTTACTTTACAAAACAGCGGTGTTACCAGCGAAAGAATGGACACAAGTCAGTATTACCCTCCCTCCGCATTCCAACAACCAGGTGTTCCATACTCGCACTACAATTATGAGCAGCCTTCAGATCAAGTATCAGCGTGTGAAAGTGATTCTGGTATCAAATCTGAGAACAAACCCAATCCTTCCTCTGCTTCAAATGAGTCATACACATCAAATCAGGCACAATCTGTCGAGAGCTTACAAGGTCCAACTGTTGATGATCGGTGTAGGAAGGGATTTGAGAAGAGAGTTAATTTGCACCCCGGGCAAGATTTACCTTCTTTTGCTGCAAATACCAGGAAGAGTAGTAAGACAAATCCCATGGTGTTTCCTGATGCTGCTCCGATCCAAAAGATCGGGATTGAGGACGATCACAGAAAAGCTGCAGCTAAATTGGAAACATCAAACAGGCAGGAAAATTCATGTGTTAGCTCTGTAGTTGATGACATTTCACTGGAAGCAACAAGTTTTCGCCAGCTTCAGCAAGTTATAGAACAGGTACAACTTTTCGATAGATAATGGAATAGTTACCTATGAGCTCTGAAGGTGATTGGTAGAAGTTTGTTTTTTCTTTTGTTGATATAAACTTACGTGAACCTTTGTATACTTTATTGATGGGCACTCGCTTGCTCCAGTTGGATGTTAGGACGAAGCTTTGCATAAGGGACAGCTTATATAGATTGGCAAAAAGCGCCGAGCAGAGACACATTTGTATGGATCCAAATGGTGGAAACAGACAAGTGAAAGGTGCTGGCTCGCATCTCGAGACTGGTGAAACAGACAAGTAAGCACCAACCGCATACTTCTCCAGTATAGTCATTCTTTCAGTTTCGTGTAGATTCTGTCAATTAATATCTGTTTTTGTTCTTATCCAGGTACGTGGGATTCTTGGATATAGAAACTGATACAAACCCGATAGACCGATCCATAGCTCATTTGCTGTTTCACAGACCCTCAGACTCATCTCTTTCATCAGATCACGATGTTCTTTCTTATAAATCCCATCCAATGGTAACTTAAACAAACACTTACTTCTTACGAACAGCCATTCAGACATACAAACTGTGTCGCATAGTGCCTCATTTAGTCATCATAATCTCCACAGATTCCTCAGCCCAACAGTAGTCCGAGCCTGAGGATAGAGAAACAAGAGGAACCTCGAGAACTTAGAACCGAAGCAGAAGCTGTGGCAAGTGACAACAAGTAGTGATGTTAACTGAAAAACTGGCTCTTTCAGTGCTGAACCAAACCGAGATATGGTTCGAATTTGATTGCACACTTGGTTGCTCGAACAGGGTAATGTAATATGTTTAAGTTGTTAAGTAGAGACACATAGCTACCCTGTAGATAAAGATGTTAGCGTCTGTTTTTTGTAATGCCATGATCACTCTGCTCTTTATTTCTCTCAACATCAACTACTAAGACACTAAAGGGTTGTCTTTTCAAATAATGGTTTTGTGTTCTGCAAAATAAACCACCCTACATAAGTTCGATTTTGATGGAACACTGAAAACGAGGAGAAAATTTGACAACATTCTAATCGAAATTTTGCCTAAGTTGCATCTCTGTTTCACTTTTCCAAGAAGCGTGAGATGATTGTCCTCTCATTCTTTTGCTCTTCTCTTTATCTTTGATCGTAGAGCCTTTCTTCTTTGCGTCTGAGTCCGGTAATGGCCGGTCACCACAAAGTGGGCATACCATTCCTCTCGCGCTTGTATATGTTTTTGGCACTCCACATTGCAGACACATCCTAAACTCATGATAAAGAAACACTAATCAAGCTATATGGGTTTAGGAAAGAATGGTGAAGAACCAAAGGGATCCATACCTCAACAGATCTGCAGCTTCTTCTGCATTTGGATTGGTTGCAGTAGATATCCTCTTTTCAACATTCTCTGAAGATGGTGGTGCATCAATATCGTTTCTGACTCTCTCATTAATCCCCACAAGTTGAGGTTTTGCCTCCATGACAACACCTATAAACCAGCCGAAACCAGCAGTGTTAAGATATAGCTTCATAAGCAGAACCGAGTAGAGACAAAAACTCAAGCTCCTGATTTTCAAACTCCATGTGTATGCTTCAAAGTAACCTAAACAAGCTTCTAAGAAAATCAACCTTTCCCATCTATTTTGGGGTTACCAATCTATAATCCTGTGAACCTAAACATAAGAATGTAAAAGGCATTGGTGTGTACCTTTACAATCTAACAGCATCAAAAGATGAGCCTTGTCATATTTGTAACAACTCAGTTCCTAGTATTCTAATTCACAACGTGTATGCTTCAAAGTACCCTAAACAAGCTTCTACAAAAGTCAACCTTTCACATACCGCTCTTGAACCTAAACATGAGGATGTGAATGGCATTGATTGCAGGACTTTCTTTCGTTGATAACACAATTTAACATCATCAAAAAAAGATGAACCTTTCATTCTTGAGATACAAAGAAGCAAAAGAGAAGTGATTAGTACCTTTAGGTTTAGCTTTCTTCTTTTTGCGGATCATACGCTTAGCATGCTCTGCATCTCTAGCTGTAGCCTCTTTATCCGCCTCTGTTCGGTTGTTTAGAAACTCCGGTGGCCCTGATATCTGCAAATTTATTCCCACAACTAAATCAAAACCAGTTCACATACTTGCAAGAAGGCCAACAAACCCTAAAATTTTTTCACTATCATAGCTTCTCTCACCAATGTTCAAACAAAAAAGCCCTAATAAAAATTCAATTTTTACAGATCCAAGTAACTAAATATTCCATCCATAATAAGTTAAATCATTCCGTTTCACTGTGAATCTACTCAACGACTCCTCGAAATTAGATAAATTCACTAATGACCTGAGAGAAAACGTCGTTAGCTGAAGGAAGGCCAGAGTCTTTAACGGAGTTGGATGCAGAGAAATCGAACACAGAAGAAGAAGATCCGTATCTAAGAACGCCACGATTCTTATCATCTTCTTCTTCAGAGTTCTCGTAATCCCTCTCCTCTACATCTTCTTCTTCTTCTTCTGCAGATGAATAGCCTTGAAGCAGCGTCAAGCTCATATCTTCTGAAGATCTGTCCGTCTCTCATAGAACAACAACTTTTGTTTATTTATGCAATTCCAATCCTCGGTTTTACGTTAAAACCAAACCGGAAATAGAGAACCGATCAGCTATTTGTAGTTCTGTACCGGATATTTCCCGATTTAGTTATAAACATTTGTAAACCGATTTGGTCTACTTCTGAGGCAAAAACCTCGAGATGAGAAGAGCTATGATTTTTTTTTTTTTTCATCTGAAGAATTACCATTACTAATATAATCGTTCATGACACTATAATCATGAGTTTAAATCCTAAAGACAAACAGACCCAAGTACAACAAGGTCTCTTAACCAACAACAACTCATAGTCTTGTTCAAAAAACACTCCACCTAGCCATTCAAAGGCAATCATAACCTTGTAGAGGGATAGATTCTCTCATCATCGAAGACATTAACCCAAGAAGGTTTTCCGGTAGCAACGTACGATTGAAATCTCTTCTCTCTAGTCACACTTCTAGCAATGAGATCAGCCCCTATATTGGTTATCTTCTCCTCCTTCTGAAACCTCCACCATTCCACACTCTTTAGGACTTCTAACAGCATCAGCCCTTGTGGTTTGAAAGAAGGCCATCGTCTTGGTCTGGTAATAACTTCGACAACACAAAGATCAGTTACAGCAAAAATCACTCTGTGCATATGGTGATCTCTCATACTCGAAACAGCCCACTGAGTTACCGCAAAAGCCACATCCTGGAAGGACAAACATGAAGAGAAGGCTTTTCTGCTATGCAGTAGGACTTCACCGATCGAGTTTCTTAAGACCCAAGCTCCTCCACCAAGCCGCTCAGAAGCCGACCATGAAACACCGATGTTACACTTAACCCATGTTGGTGGCGGTGGCATCCATTTTCTCTCTTCCTTGGACTCATCTTCCTTTTCTTGATGTTGCTGATCTTCAATAACTTGTTGCGCTACAAACCGCATATTAGCCTCATCCTTGGCTTTAGACACAATATCAATGGATAAGAAACAATTCCCTTCAAAGCATACTCCATTCCTATTCTTCCACAAAAACCAAACAAACCATGGAAACATTTTGGATATGTTTTCAGGAATATTACGGTTGGCTTTCAGAGAGAGAAGGTAATGAAAATTCGGGTAGTGGGAGGTCTGACTGAACCCATTGGGTGGCATCGGAATGTTAGATAGAGCCCAAACCTGTCTAGCGATGGAACATGTGAAGATGATATGATTCACAGATTCACCTGTTTCACCACATGTTTGGCAGCAGCTATCAATCTTTATTCCCCTATTGATTAAGAGTTCAGCCGCAGAGATAGCATTACTCAGCGCCCGCCACATGAAAGCTTTAATCTTCGGTTGAGTTTTAACACTCCAGACTCTTTCCTTTAGGCTATTTAGAGATGGGAGGGCTTTTGTTTCAATTGAGACCTCAGAATTAAAATCTCTCATGATCATCAAATAATCCGGTATTTTTTTTTTTAATATTTTTAAACTAATAATTGATTCTTATATTTTTTATTTAATAGACCGATTTTGACTTTTAACTGCAACAAAAAAAAAGTTAATTATGATTTAAGAAGCTTTTGGTATAGTTAATAAAGAACCAGTCAGCTATTTGAAGTTGTATACCAGATATTCCGGTTTAGTTATAAGATATTTATAAACCAGGTTAATTATGGTTCAAGAAGCTTTCGGTATAGTTAATAAAGAACCAGTCAGCTATTTGAAGTTGTATACCAGATGTTCCGGTTTAGTTAGAAGATATTTATAAACCGATTTGGTCTGCTTCTGAGGCAAAAACCTTGAGGAGATGATAAGAAACTTTCGGTTTACCTCTTTCCTCTCTGCCGCTAAACCTCTCACCTCCTTCGCCTGCTCATCTTCTCCGGCGAGACATCCACCGCAATTCACGTCATCTGCATCAACTCCTCTCCGTATAACTCCTCCCAAAACTCCACTATTCCTCAGAACACCCTCCCACGCAGCTCCTTTATCAGAAGTATTAAAATGGCAAGACTGGGCGAAAGATCTCGCCTCCTCGGTAAAGAACTCTTCAACAAAGTCTGAAGATAGCTTAGACTCTATTCTCCTCCTCCGTGAGCTAAAATGGCTAACCGAAGACTCGATCACAGACGATATTACCAGAAGGGAGTTAGGAGGAGAGAAGAGTGTGAAGCTGAGAGCTTCCTTGGAGGAGCTATACGAGTTATGGCGTGAGAGGATCGTTAACAGGCGGCCGTTTCAGTACGTGGTGGGATGTGAGCACTGGAGAGATATGGTGTTGTGCGTTGAGGAAGGTGTTCTTATTCCGAGACCTGAGACGGAGCTTATTGTTGATTTGGTGGAGGAGGTGGTGAGGAGAGATGATTGGTTTAGGAGAGGAGTTTGGGCTGATCTTGGAACGGGAAGTGGAGCGATTGCGATTGGTGTTGGTAGAGTTTTGGGTGGGTGTGGGAGAGTTATAGCTACAGATGTTAGTCCCGTGGCGGTTGCTGTGGCGGGAAACAATGTTGGAAGATATGAGCTTCAGGTTAGTAGGTTGAAGAGTTTCTTTAGGATATTTGGTTCTGTCTTAAGAGATTATGTAGTAATGTTCGAAAAATCGCTAGGCAGTGGTTCTTTATATGAAATTTTTTATTATGCTGGGGACAAGGGCAATATTTTGAGGAGCCCTGGGCGAAAAAAACCGAACTGAAAAGCCAAACTGGAACAGAACAAAATACGACTGAAAGAAATCTTCAAATATCCGAATGGTTTCTATATTTCTATATCTGAAAAAACCGAACCTGAAGCAAACCGAGAACCAAACGGGTACCGAATATCTGAAAATTCTGCTGATTAGGAGCCGCCCCGATATCTTAAAACAGTGTTCTTTAGCTTTGGTTTCTTCTTACCATAGTGATTAAATTTTGTGTCTATGTTCTTGGTTTGGGCCTTTAGAACACTGTTCTTTATATGAGATTTTTATTATGCCGGTGACTAGACCCATATTTTGAGCATAGACAGATTTTTAAAAATGTGTTTAGACCGATTTTTAGAACATTGTTCTTTAGCTTTGGTTTTTTCTTATAATAGTGATTAGATTTTGTGTGTACATACAGGGAATGATTGAGATAAGAGAAGGTTCTTGGTTTGAGCCTTTGAAAGAACTTGAAGGGAAGCTTGTGGGGCTTGTGAGTAATCCACCATACATACCAAGTGATGACATTCCAGGCCTACAAGCTGAAGTTGGTAGACACGAACCGCACCTTGCGTTGGACGGTGGTGTTGATGGGACTGATAGTCTTTTCCATCTTTGTGATGGGGCTTCACGGATGCTTACAAGCGGTGGTTTCTTTGCTTTTGAGGTTACTCTCTCTCTTAATCCAAATCCTTCACTATAAGTAGATACACTATGTCTTAATTTTATGATTTTTTGGTAAAAGTATGAGCCAACTGTTTGGTGTTGAAGATCTTTGCATTTGTATTAGTAATCACATGAATGATGAATCTAATGGGTGAAGATAGTTTCTGATTTTTTTTTTTGCTAGAATCGGTTGGTAATGATGAATCTAATGGGTGTATAATGATGCAGACTAATGGAGATAAGCAAAGCAAGATGATCGTTGATTACATGAACAGTGATCTCAAGAACATTTTCTCTGATGTGAAGATAGTTTCTGATTTTGCTGGAATCGGTCGTTTTGTGACTGGCTTTCGTCTCTGAGATTTTACGCAACTCGCTGTAGTGCCATTTCCCTATAATATATGTGTCCTAATTGAGCTACATTTATGGATTTGTGAAATTATTTTTTCCTCAAAATCATGAACGGTGGTTAACCGAAGAATCTGGTTTGTTTGTCAAGAATTCATGATGCAAAGAGTACAAACTACAAAGATAACAGCTTTTGAAATCATATAAAATCATTGGTAATGGACCTGTGATTAGAAGTATAAATCAATTACCATGGATTTTTCCTTATAAATGTAAATCGAATGTAGGCTAGTTGAGTGATGAACTTATATAAAGCATAAATGGGCCACCTTCACAAGCTTATGTAAACTATTATTTGGCCCATTTGTACTTTATATAAGTTCATCACTCAGCTTGCAGAATTTAGGTTTTCTAGCAAGAATCGATTTCACGTAAGCTCCCGCCGCCTCCTTCTACAGGTTCGTTCATTGCTCCGTCTTTGCTTACTTCGTTTTAGCATCGCTTCTTTCGATCTTGAATCTTTCTTAGTGTCACCCACATGTTCTTAGAAGCTTTGCTTGATGTTTTTGGAGTTTTAGTTTCTTAGATTTTTTGTTCCTTTTGTTCCCTCTGCCAAATGGTCTGTTGAATCACAATAAAGCAAGAACGATCTTTAGTGATGATTTGATGTGTGGTTGGTTGTGTGATTGCAGAATGGATTCGCAGATCAAGCACGCCGTGGTGGTGAAGGTTATGGGAAGAACTGGTTCTCGTGGACAGGTGACTCAGGTTAGAGTCAAGTTCACAGATTCGGACCGTTTTATCATGAGGAATGTGAAAGGACCAGTTAGAGAGGGAGACATCCTTACTCTTCTCGAGTCCGAGAGAGAAGCCAGAAGACTCCGTTAATTTCATATGCGATCTCTATGAAAGTGTTACCAATTTTCACATTTTGATTTCATATGTTTCTTTACCTTCTGTTGTTTTTTGTCTAAGAATGGATTATCAGTTATGCTAAATCAATGTTTGGATCCAGAAATGCACCTTTTAAATCGGTATTATTTGAAGTGGCAACAATTATTATCTATGGTATATGATCACTGTATATCCTAAAGCTTCTGCTACTTTCATATTTAAACATTTCTGATTTTAGAATTCGGATGGTATTGTTTAAAAATACACGTAGTAATCTTCTTACACTGTGTATTGATTAAGAAACTCTCATTATTTATGTAATAGTTGAGTTGAGATCAAGCTGTGAGGCTTAACACATTCTCATTTAAGCTCTCTATATAACTCTGCTGAAATTGTAAACTTAGAACACGAGCGACAAGATGTTAAGGATCAATCAGTCTCAAATTTACAAGCATACTGAAATTTATATATACTTTATTTTTTTTTTGAAAGAATGTAAAATTTATTCAATCAAAAACATTGTTGCATCAAGTGCTTACATCAAAGAGTAAAAAACTCCAAACCAAGACAACACCAAGGACAACAATTTATGCTAAAGCAAAAACAGGAACCACAACCTCCAAACTCAAACACTCCCCCTCAAATTCAACCATGTGAAACAAGTCGAATTTTTGGANTTTTTTTTTTGAAAGAATGTAAAATTTATTCAATCAAAAACATTGTTGCATCAAGTGCTTACATCAAAGAGTAAAAAACTCCAAACCAAGACAACACCAAGGACAACAATTTATGCTAAAGCAAAAACAGGAACCACAACCTCCAAACTCAAACACTCCCCCTCAAATTCAACCATGTGAAACAAGTCGAATTTTTGGAAGGATCATAGTATTTTCCTCATTAAAACCTTATTAAAGTAAACCCATTGGGAAACCTTTAATAAGGAAAAAGAGTAAAAATACTAAGATCAGGGGAGTGTTAAGCATAACCATTGCCCATGTGTGTCCTTTAAAAAGAGAAAACAACCAAAACGCCTTCTCATACTAAGAACTACTATCCTTTCCAAACCAAGTTATCAGTCCCTTCTCATACTTTCCTTCCCCTCGGATAGACAAGAGCTTGAGTCTAATATTCTTGTCTACCAACTTTGCTAATTCAATCACATCTCTAGGCTTCTCCCCATGCTTACGAGAATTCCTCTCCCACCAAATTGTGTGCACTACCGCCTGCAGAGTATATCTCAAAAGGTAAGTCATTAACGGGTTGATCCAAGTCTTGGAAATAATGGCGATCAGCTCACTCCAAGCAGCAGTAAAATCATCCTTCATAAGTCCCTCAGCAAGCTTCCTCCAAATCTGACCAGAAAAACCACAATTAAAGAACAAGTGGGAACTTGTCTCACACTCATTATTACAGAGAACACAAGTAGTATCAATAGAGGAGTTCCATTGCTGCATTCTATCAGCAGTCTGAAGGCGTCCACGCAGAATTATCCACATAATAAAGGAGTATTTTGGGGTAGATTGAGGAAACCAAATCCCCTTGCTCCATTGACAAATCTGCTTAGAATCTCTAAGCTGCTCAAACGTACTTTTAGTAGAGAACTTCCTCATATATTTGCCCTCAGCATGTTTCCAAAGCACAATATCATCTTCACTGGAAACTCGCAGTTTACTTAACTCCTCTTCCACCTCATTGAGAATAGCAACTCTGTGATCACGCCTTCTTCTTTTATTCAAAGCTTCACTAACCGTGGCATTATCTGGGAGACCAAGATCAAAACATCTTCCGCCTAAAGTCTCCCTAAGCATACCAAAACGGGACCAAATATCGTACCAGAAGGAAGTCGTCTTGCCATTTTTAACCTCCTTCCTAAGAAACTGTTTAGCAATGCTCCTGAATTTGAGAAGTTTTCTCCAGACCCAAGATCCTGATTGAACAGTCTCCTTAATCGACCAGAAGGAGCTTTTTCTAATCAAATAACAGTGAACCCATCTTACCCATAATGAGGACTCCGAAGAGATACGCCATATGAGCTTGAGGCAATAGACAGTATTGATTTCCTTCAAAGGTCTTAACCCTAAACCACCTTCAGCCTTTGGTAAACACACATCCTTCCATGCAACTTTTGCTTTAGTGGTTTTTAAATCGGGGCCTGACCAGAGGAAGGCAGAACAAAGGCTTTCCACATCTTTCAAACAACTCCCTGGTAACCGAAACGCTGCCATCCAGAAATTAGCAAGGCTCATGATAACAGAACGAATAAGTTGAAGTCTTCCTGCATGAGATAGAAGCCTTCCAGTCCAAGAACTCATTCTTTTCCGGATTTTCTCAACCAACGGCAAATAATCGTTTACACTCATCCTTTTAGTAATAAGCGGTAATCCCAAATACCTTACTGGAAGCTTACCATAGGAGAAAGGAAACGTAGTAAGAATGTCCTTCTCAATCACTTCAGAGATCCCCGCAGTGTATAAAGTAGATTTTTCCAGGCTTATCTTAAGACCAGAAACAACTTCAAACTCTTTAAAAACCTTGAGAACTCCTTCGATAGAACGTTTAGTGCCATCAGTGAAGACTAATAAGTCATCAGCAAAGCAGAGATGAGATAAAAGGACATTCTTGCATCTAGGATGATACCCAACCAGCTTCTTTTCCACCGCCTTATCAAGCATGTGAGACAGAACATTAATACAAATAACAAAGAGGTAAGGAGATAAAGCACAACCTTGTCTTAAGCCTCTTTTACTTTGGAAAAACCCAGCAAGTTCACCATTAACCTGAACTGAAAAGGAGGCAGTACAAACACAGAGCTCAATCCAATGAATAAATTCCTCTGGAATGTTTAGAGCTTTGAGAGTGTTCAGGAGAAAAGGCCAATGGACTGAGTCGAAAGCCTTTGCAATGTCAATCTTCATAGTACAGCGTGGAGAGATATCCTCCTTATGATAATCCTTCACCACTTCAGTCGCAAGTAATAAGTTCTCAACTAACAGTCTATCTTTCACAAACGCAGACTGATTATACTTTATACACCGAGGAAGAGTCACTTTCAACCTATTGGCAATGATCTTTGATATAACTTTATAAAGAACATTGCAACAAGATATTGGCCTATAATCCTTCATCTCCACAGCAGAATCTTTCTTAGGTATAAGTGCCAATATAGTGGCATTAAGACCCTTAGGAAGAAAGCCTTTACTAAAGAAACTTTGAATAGCAATGGTAAAGTCTTTACCAATTGTAGACCAAGCAGCTTTGAAGAATTCCACAGTGAATCCATCTGGGCCAGGAGACTTATCACTTGGCATCTTGAAGATAACATCTCGGACTTCCTCTTCAGAAACCCTCTTCATTAAATCAGATCTCTCCACCTCAGAACATCTAAACGAAAACAACTTTTGAAGCTCCTCCACAGAAATATCCTGAATACCTGCTGGCTCAAACGTAAGAAACTCTTTGAAGAATCTCTCAGCCTCTTTTTTAATATCATTCTGGTTGGTAGCATAATCCCCCCCTGGGCACTTAATTTCTCGGATGTGATTTCTTGTCTCTCTAACCTTAGCTGCGTTGTGAAAGGCTTTATTGTTCTTGTCTCCAACTTGCAACCAGTGAAGTTTGGATCGCTGTTTTAAGAGCTTCTCTTCAATGTCAGATATCCTTTGCCATCTTTCAACTGCAACACACTCAGCAAGAATATTATCATGCGTAGGATCCTCCATTAACATCCTTTGCTTATCACAAAGATCAGAAAAAGCTTCTTTAACCTTCTTAGCAAAAGAACCCAACTTATCCTTACTCAGAGATTTTATATGAGGCTTCAAACCCTTAAGATACTTAGAGAACCGGAAGAGCGCAGAAGTTGATTGAAACAGAGGTTGAGTATTGCTCCAATAGTTAGAGATTACCTCTTGAAATTCTCTCATCTCTCCAATAACATTCATAAACTTGAAAGGCTTTCTTTTGCCGATAGCCTCAGCAGAAAGATGAAACCTACCTCGCAAATGATCAGAGACCCCCCCAGCTTCGAAAACCCCATAAGCCTGAGTGCGCTGATTGAGCCAGGTTTCATTCACCAAGATACGGTCCAATTTTTTGCAAATTAACCCCTCATCTCTTTTGTTGCACCACGTAAACTTAGGTCCCTGATATCCCATATCCGTGAACCTACAATGCTGAAACACACTCTCAAAATCCCGCATACCCTGAGTAGTAAATCCAGAACTCTGATAATTAGAGTGTTCCTCCCCATCAATAATCTCGTTAAAATCTCCCATAACTACCCATTCTTTATTACGAAACAGAGGAGAATCGTGATGAGCCTTTATATCATCCCATAATTCCCTTCTCTTCTCCACATTATTATCAGCATAAACAAAGGAACAGAAGAATTCATCCACTTCCCCATTTAGCAAGACAGAAACAGTAATTATCTGATCCGTTTTAAAGATTGGAGTGAGCCTGACTTGAGAATTCCAGACTACCCAAATCCTCCCCCTCCTACTATATTCATAATTATTGAGAAAATGCCAATCTTGAAATACTGAGGAAACAATTCTAGCAGACTTGCTTTCCTTGACCCTAGTCTCCAAAATAGCACCAAACTGTAACTCTTTATTTTGAATCCATTGACGGACGACTTTATTTTTTGAATTTTTATTGAATCCTCTCACATTCCAAAAAAATCCAGTCATTGAGAAGATTTATAACGGACCCTTTTCCCCAGAACACCAGAGATATTGTCTTTACCTGTGAGCTCAGGGAAGAACTTATGATTTGCTTTAGAGGTTCTAGGAAGAGATGGTCGTATAGTGTTTCCCCGAGAAGAAACCTTCACCATAGGCACCTCATCCTCCTCTTTATGCTCTTCACTATCTTCCTCCAATTCATGATCCAAACCAGCAGTAATGTTGTTACCATCTTCAAGTTTCTCTTCCCCTTTATCATCAACTTCCAATAAAGCACTAAACCTGGAAGAGGTCAGAATTTGCTCCTGATCTGTATTACCAACCTTTATTTCCAAATTTCTGTTACTGACCTTCCCCGGAGAAGGACTTGTCCAACCTTCTTCAACCTCGCCTTCTTCCACCTCTGTTATCTCAGTTACTTTCCTTACTTCTTCCTCCATATTGGTGTTATGATTATCATTCACCTTATTCCTTACGTCACTAGCCTCTTTCCTGCTCTTATCTGCGTTCACTATATCCATTACAGACTTCTCAGATCCGTCCCTCTTATTCATAACACAAACCTTCTCGAGATGTCCCCATTTTCCACACGTCAAACATCTATCTGGTAACCAAGGATAAGTAAAACCAACCACCGATGACACTCCATCCTTAGTAAAGTTAATCTCCTTTGGTAACTGCTTAGTCAGATCAGCGTTTACCAGAACTTTTGCTACCTTGAAATTAGCACAAGAAGCAGTTTCAGGGTGAAGCCTATCAGGATGTCCCACAGCGCTTGTGATGAAACTGAGCCCCTGCCAAGAGAACATATTCATCGGAACGTTTGTGAGATGAACCCATAGTGGGATTGATTTAACTTCAGGTTTCTCCTTAAGCTCATCCGGAGTCCAAANGCGTTTACCAGAACTTTTGCTACCTTGAAATTAGCACAAGAAGCAGTTTCAGGGTGAAGCCTATCAGGATGTCCCACAGCGCTTGTGATGAAACTGAGCCCCTGCCAAGAGAACATATTCATCGGAACGTTTGTGAGATGAACCCATAGTGGGATTGATTTAACTTCAGGTTTCTCCTTAAGCTCATCCGGAGTCCAAACAGACATCACCAAAGGTATGTTACCAATGCTCCACATTCCCCTTTTTAGAATTCTAGCCCGCATCAAAGGATCCGAGACTCGAAACTTAACCGTTGTTGGATCAACTACATGAACCCCCACCATCTCACCTTTTCCTCCATTCCTCCAAATCCTGTTAACAATAGCATGAATACGAGCCACATGAGGAGCTGTATCCAGGAATTTGCCGATTAGAAAATCCTCCCAAAGTAGATTAGCATCGACGACCACCTCTTCTGGAACCTCGACCTTAATCTGACCTTCCAAGTCTGTCAGATCGATATCATACTTCCGCAAAACCTTCTTCTCCTTCGCTATTTGAACCCACGAAGAGACCTTCGAAGTAACCATGTCATTATCTCCTTTCAAACTCGTGTTCGATCCATCCCCCATCTCAGTCGTACCCTTCTGCTCATCTATCTTCACCGGAATCGATCCAGATGAGTCCGGCAAAGATGCCGAATCCATCGGAATCTCGATCGCACTTTTTCGCCTAAAAATCGCCTTTTTTGTTCAGAGCAAAACGGTGCGTTTTTACTAGAGACAAGACTTCATGTTTTTTTTGCGTTGTTATATATATACTTTATTGACAACAATAAAAAACTAAACCAAACCGGAGGGAGTAGAGCCGCCATAGAACTAGTTGAAATGGAACATTTAGCACTACGTGGAAGCCTGTCTACCACCAAGTTGTGTGCTTTCGAAATATATCGAATCTAAAAAGTAAAAAAAAAGAGTTTTACTGTATTGAATATGTGTAGTAACAGTTGACCATTCTTCAGACGATGACATTATCTTCACCACTCGAGGACAATCTGTTACAAAAATTATTGTATGAGAAATTGTGGGTCTTCATGCATTTTATAGCCTAAATCAAAACCTCATATTCTGTATGTAAATCGGATAAACTTCTTCGGAGATTCATTGCCTCCATCATCTTCTCACCAAAACCATAGTTCGACAGAACCATTCTTGTCCTAAGAACTTATCTTGTGCCCTCCACCTTCATCAACGAAACAAACTCGAGCTTGTGGAATTGAAAGCCACTCGACTGAGGAGAGAGTGGCTGGATGCCAATCAGAAGTCGTGAGTCGGGCCCATACTGCTCCCTTCTGCTTCCGCCATTCGAAGAATTTTCAGAGAATTACCTATATGGTAGATGGTCTAACAACACTGGATTAAGAAGTGTGAGCTTGGGCATATGTTAAGTTCAGCAGCCCATTAAGTTTCAAACAAAAAATAACGCGGCAGGCCTATCTGGCAACAGCTCTAAATTATAATATAACGAGAAATTACCAATATAACCCTCTCTCTCTACGCGGATCTTAGCTCCTTTCGTTTTCTTCTCTATACCAATCATCTCTCTCTCTCGTTGATCCCTTTCACAACAAAGAAACGTCGCAACCAACACATACAATCCTTCCTCCTGGTTAGTCCCTTCTCAATTTATTTTTTCTTCCACATCGTTACAGTTAGATTGCTATTGTCAGCTTCGATTAGAAATTTGATTTGTTGATCGAGCTTGATTCCTATACCGTCGTTCTTTTTCTGTGTTTGTGATCTGATCTTTTATTGGCTTACATTTTGAAGATCTGACTCGCATTATGGTTGATTTTGATTTCAATCTGGAAAAAAAATTGACTATAGATTTTGTGTGGAGTTGAGGAGAGACATAACAATGTCAAGCGTAGAGGATGTGAAAGAGCAAGGGAACCTCAACAATGACGAAGAAAAGTCAATGCCATCATCACAGCAAGAGGTTTTTAGTTTCCATCACACACACAAACATAAATCATCTAATTAATAATAATGATGTTAATACTTTTTTATATTTTGCAAATTGCATTTGTGTGTGGTAGGAGGCTGCTGTAAAGAACAAGTATGGAGGACTCATGCCAAAGAAACCACCACTCATTTCAAAAGTATGTTAATTATTTTATTCACCTCTAAAGAAATTGTGTGTGTTTGTTTCTGAGATGTGTGATTTTATTCCTATCAGGATCATGAACGAGCATATTTTGACTCAGCTGATTGGGCTCTTGGAAAGGTACAGAATATTCAAAACTTTGATTCCATATTTTTGTTATTTCTTTATTGTTATCAAAAAATATCAGTGTTCTAAAAATCAGTCTAGGCAGCAATTCAAACCTAAACCAAAGGATTTCTTAAAAAAATCGGTCTAGGCGTTCAAAAGATCGTTCTGGACGTCTGACTAATCAAATAATCCTAACTACCGCCTAGCGATTTCTTGAACATTGTCAAATATTATAGATTCTACTATTGTACTGCAACTCATGATTGATGTTTTTAAAACGATTTCTCAAAAAAAAAATCGGTCTAGGCGTTCAAAAAATCAATCTAGACTTCTTACTAATCAATAATCCTAACTAGCGCCTAGCGATTTCTTGAACATTGTGAAATATTATAGATTCTACTATTTTACTGCAACTCTCATGATTGATGTTTTTAAAACAGCAAGGTGTTGCAAAGCCAAAGGGACCTTTAGAAGCTCTTCGTCCCAAGTTACAGGTAAAAACTTGCTTCTACCACGTTTACGCTATATTTCTTTTTTTTACCTCTCTGCGGGCTGTTTCTTATCTTAAGATTTTTGTCCCTCTTCCTACAGCCAACGCAGCAGCAGACGCGTTACAGGAAGTCTCCATGTGCTCCATCCGGTGAAGGTAATTTTTTCATATTCATCTCATCCAATTTAAAGCAAATTAAAGATTTACGGATCCATCTCGTTGCTATGATATTATTGCAGATGGAGCGGCTGCTCAGGGCGAATGAGTTTCCAACAATGAAGAGTAGAGACCAGAGAGAGGAGGAGAGATATGCAAACTCTGGTGTAATAACTTTGTTATAATCAGATATTGTCTGTTGATTTGAAACCACAAATATATTTTTCAATAAATCAACTCTGATCGCATAGCGTCTCCAAGTTGGATACATTGTTATAGGTTAGACCCTGTATGGAATCTTTGGTTATTATTATAGCTTAATAATAATTCAGTGAAGGACCTAAAATATCTAATATATACAGCTTTACTTTCATAGGTTTGAGTAACATTTACATATTCTGTAAGGTAATTGTAACTGCTGATTGAAATACTGATGCTAAGGATGCAATGACATTAGAGTGATAAGGCGAAGTAGCAGACTTCTCCATGCAAATGGAGAAATGTGGTAGTATATTATACTTCTTCCTCCACAAATCATGAAAACTATTCTAAGATAATGATACCTAGATTATATCTTACTAAGGATAAATGAGTTGAGCTGAAATAAATTGTGAAATACTTTAATTCATGAGTTTGAGTTAAACTGAGCAAATTAGCTCACTTTGAAAACTCTAAATATGCTGGTGGTGTCCATAAAAGGAGAATATCTCAAGCAAATTATTTACAGAGATACTAAGTACATAGTGTTAAGCAAATACATGTGTAGTCAGAATTTTTTTTAAAAAATATCCAATCAACTCATTAGACATCACATCATGCATAGTTTGAAAAAGGAATAGCACGTGCGTTAAAACATGTATTTTCCCTTGAATACAAAAAGTCAGCTATTTCATCAACTTTATTGTTAGGCATAGAATTGCTGAATGAAAGCCGCACAATATAACACACATACGTTCGCAGATAATACAAGTAATTAAGATATATAAAATCGATAATATTGCTGTCTACAGACCGTGTGTTCACTGGAACTTCAACACACATGACATCAAGAAAGCGAAATTATAGAAACCGGAAAATAAGGAAGTCGGAGAAGTTTCACCGGAAGATACTTCCAAAACTGTCTCACTAATTGCCGGATTCCACAGTCGGTGATCCGACTTATCTTACGATGTCTTAATCTGCTTAAAAGTCAGCTTTGCAAAACCATCATCACTATTCTTAATTTAATGTATTTATCTTCTGTACATGTTTTGGTAAAGCTTTATGGCCACCCCGAAGGCCGACTTACCAGGAAAGACATATAGATCACTTATATTGTTTTTTTTTCTTATTTCTAACATATGTATATTGCATTCAAACATTCTAGATGATAATTGTAATCAGTTTAAATGCAAATACAAACGTTAAACAATAATCAATAGGTTGAACTTGAAAGAATCGTGATCATGATCTCGGTTTTGTTTCATTGGTTGGCAAAACAATACAGTAAAATAACGTATATCGATGCCCAAATAAAAGATCAGGAGGAATATAAATGTATGGCTCATAAGTTTTAGGATATGTATGTTCTTACATTAATCTTTCTTTAATTATTAGAGTAGTGTTCGATATATATATATATAGCCGAACTTTTCTCCCAAAAAAATTATTTTTTCACTATAAAGTTTAAATTATACTCACCAGAAAATATATTAATAGTTAGCTACAAACATGTATAACTTAAATTTATACAAGCCAAAAATTCTACAGCTACATATATATATATAACGAATGAAGGAGTTAACATTTACCAAAATATTAAAAAATGACGAATGAAAAAGGTTTTGCGTTGAAGAATTAGTTTTATAAAAATAAGGTTTTGCGTTTTTTTTGCTACTACTTTAAGTAAATGGAGTGTTAAGCTTAGGTTGTTTTCGCATTGAACTCCACTTGGAGACCAGTCCACTTTGTTATGGTTCGCTCTAATCCTCTAATTGATATCCACAAACTGTTGACAGAAAAAGGATATCCACAAACCAAAAATGGACGAATCATAATTGACATACACTATGTTTTTATTTCTAAAGGGATTCTAATTTTACTAGAAAGTTGATACCAGTTTTTAATTTTACTTTAAGATAGCTAGTATAATGTTTAGAAATACGTTTAAAAGAATCTAAATGAACCTCCTAAATTATTTGTTAATATTTAGTTACTTTTTAAGAAGTTTATAAACTCAATCCAACTCTTAATACTAAACTATAAACAATAATCATTAAATTTTAAACTCAAATACTATAATATTTTTGATTGGAATATATTTTTGAAAAGTATTATCCAATTAGTAGTATTTTAAGCAAAAAAAAAGTATTTTAAGCAATTTCTTTATTTCTAATTACATATTTCTAATCGATTCATACAGTAGACTTGAACCAAAATTCAAAACTCATACGTAAACAATATTTCAATCACTACATATTAAATCAATCAAGTTCATAGAATGATCAAAGAGAACAAATCCAAAAGGAAATGCTTTTAAAGTCAACGAGCGGACCAGCTCATATCGCACTGATCCAAAACAGCACGCGCTTTCAGAGTTTTGAATATCTCACAAACAACGTCGTTTTATCTAATCCCCACAAACACTAGCAAACACAATAAGCCGGTTTGGCTGACTCACACGTTATTCATTGACTTGTCAACCCCTTCTATAAATAGTACTCTTAAATGAACTAACTCTACTCACTACTAAGACTAAAAACCACACTTGATATTCTCTAGCAAAAGCCCTAACATATAAACATATACCCAAGATGAATTTTGTAAGATCATTGTTCGTTTTCATTACCCTCCTCACTTGTCTAGTCATCTCGGTCCATGGCCAAGCTGCCCCGAGGCCTGGTGGTTCTGGCACGAGGATAGGGTTTTACTCAACCACATGTCCTACCGTCGAAACCATTGTCCGAAACGCCGTGACAGCTGGATTCAGGTCTAACCCTAGAATCGCACCCGGAATACTAAGAATGCATTTCCACGACTGCTTTGTCCAAGGCTGTGAAGGTTCCATCCTTATAACGGGAGCTAACACCGAGAGAACAGCCGTTCCAAACCTCAACCTCCGTGGATTTGAAGTCATAGACAACGCCAAAACCCAGCTCGAAGCTGCGTGTCCTGGAGTCGTCTCTTGTGCTGATATTTTGGCTTTAGCTGCTCGTGACTCCGTTCTCCTCGTAAGTCTTAATTAACTACTTCTTTAAAAAAGAGTCTTGATTAACTGTACTTAGCTACGTTGCATGCATTTATATTATTTTTTTGGTAACATCCAAGTAACGTATTTACGTGCATGGATTCATTTTCATGCAGACAAGAGGAATAAGTTGGCCCGTACCAACCGGACGTAGAGATGGTCGAGTTTCTTCGGCTTCGGACGCTAACAATCTCCCTGGTCCCGGTGATTCCGTCGCCGTTCAACAACAAAAGTTCTCCGCTTTGGGACTCAATACCCGCGAACTTGTTGTCCTCGCCGGTCAGTAGTTTACATTTTACACAATCCAAGACCTATAAATTACCAAGAGTTAACGTTAAGAAACTTTTTCATGTGTCCAATTTTTGGGTAGAAAATTTTATCTTAAAAATATAGAAAATGAAAACCTTTTTCGAAACAATAGAATTTTTTCATTTTTGAAATTTAACAACACCATATAGTAAATCAATTATATAATTTTAACAGGAGGTCACACGATCGGAACAGCGGGATGCGCAACATTCAGGAACAGACTATTCAATAGCACCACAGGCCCTGCGGATCCAACCATCGACCCGACATTTTTGGCGCAGCTTCAGACACAATGTCCCCAAAACGGTGATGCCAGCGTACGCGTTGATCTCGACACCGGAAGTGCAACCACTTTTGACACATCCTATTTCAACAACCTAAGCCGTGGCCGTGGAGTCCTCCAATCCGACCAGGTTCTCTGGACCGACCCAGCAACTAGGCCCATTGTGCAACAGTTGATGAGTCCAAGAAGCACCTTCAACGCTGAGTTTGCCAGGGCAATGGTCAAGATGAGTAATATTGGTGTACTTACGGGGGCTAATGGAGAAATCCGTAGGGTTTGCTCCGCGTTTAATTAAGTAAATGATTAAATCAGTGGTTAGTGATGGATAAACTTTCATGGCTGGCTAAGTACTTGTTTCGAGTGTGGTTTAGTTTCAATAATAAATAAACCAATAGTAAATGACATAAGAAAAAACCCAAAAGTGGGTTGATGAAAAAAATGTATGTAAGGTGTTTGTATTTCTTTTGGCTTTACTTGGTGGAATTAATAAATGGTCACTTCTACACAAATAATTGCATGACTCGTGATGAGTTTGGTTCTACTTTGTCTTCTTATATTTTATTGTTTGCGTTAACCATATAAGTAGACTTCCGAAGGTAATGCTCAAGTACCATAGGTCCATAACTAATGATTTTAAAACTCAGGTTAGATACAACCTAAACAGAAAAAGAAGCTTTATCTAAACTTCAATTTCTCCGAACCAAATGTTCAATTAAATTTCGGAAAAAAATTGTATGGTTCGTATTTGCTGATTTAAAATTTTAGACTATTTATAGATTTGTGCATATCATTCTTACGCATGAGCCATAATAGTCTTCTGTATTATTCCAATTTTATCGGATGTCCCCGAAAGGACTATGAAAACTTAAATTAGTTACAAAATATAATAAATATGGAACAAAATTTACTTTGTTATATTAGTATTGTCTATTTTGCTACACGTTGTCATAGATTTTGAAAGACAACAAATTACCCAAATTAAATCGAAATCCAGACTACCTCATATAATGGCATGTATCGAAAGGTCAAGTTGCATACTCACATTTGATATACTTCAAAATGATGGGTTCTTAAGTTCTTATGCTCATCAAATTTATTAAAATGTGACAGAAGACATAGCTTAATGCGGCTTTTGTGTTAGGACCCAAACTCAATTATAATATATGCTGTTGACAAAATCATTTATCAACTAAAAAATTCTGGTCAAATATTCCCCTCTTATTAAATTGCAAAACACGTTATTCGTCACGATCTTTATAATTTTAGAACCCTAATTATTTGTAGCGTTTTCAAAATTGTATGCGGTAATAATGTGTTTTGTATCAATATTTAAGAGCATCATTATTGCAGGTTTCTTAGAGCGGGTTTCTTAGGAAAATTTAAGAAACCGTTTCTTATATTTCCCTAAGAAACTTGCTCTAAGAAACCTGCAATAATCGTACTTCACATCGGAATATACACATAACTACTATTGCTTCCAATGTACCCCCAAAAAAGAAAACTAGTACCCTTTGCATAACTTCTTCTGACATGCATTGATGCAGCTTATTGCTCTACCGTTGCAAATTTGGTTGCACAAAATACCATTATATTCATGGCGGTGCACGTAACAAACTCGTGAATAAATGTCAAATGATTCGTTAAACTGAAAACCAGTCTTGTCAACGAAAAGTAATAGATATTCATAGTTGATTGGCCAACCAATTATGGATTTATATTTGATTAATATATGGTTGATAAAAATAAAGAATTTCTCTTGCTGACAGAAGAAGTTTAACTTTGTGATTTAATTTACTAATGTAAATAATAAAGCATAATAAGACAATGCAACAACAACAAACAAAAGAGACAAAAATAAGATATATTTAAACAATATTTAACCAGGCAATTTAAGCTTATCTTCATCTTTGTCACTGACATTTTCTTCCCAATGCAATGTTCCAATCAACTTTGGCAATCCTACATAGGCTATTATAGTTAATTAATAAGGTACATGTACACAGTACGCGTATTAAGTTTGACTGTATTATTATGTAAATGCATTAGCTGTATTGATTTAGACCGAGCAAGCAATTCTTTTCACACTTCCTAATTTATTAGACATTCTAACTGACACCTTCTTCACTATATACGTTCACCTTAATTAAATTGTATATGACTGTATTTGTATACTAGTTAGTATAGATTTTAGTGCGGGCATGTTAAGGTAAAAAGAAAAGGTAAGATGGCGTGGTTGAGTCACGAGTCTTGTCGATATTTTGATTCGAAACTAAAACTTCCAAAACATCTTGAGTAGAAGACAACATCCGTGTAAATGGTCTATTATTTCAACGATTCCATTTATATTCTATTGTTTCCTCTTCTTTTAACATTTGTTTTTATTTTTTTCTATTCCTGTTTTGATAGAATAAAATAGAATGCCACAATCCAATCGAGTCATTGATTCTATGAAAGTTCCATATCTCCACCACCACTAAAATACATTATTTTCTCATATTTGATTATAAATATTCAAACTTTGCCATCTGAAATATTATTGATCGATATAAAGGTAAAATTCAGAAACAGGCAAAAATGAATGTTTAGATAAGTTTTCCTGGGCGAAAATGTCGATTTAAAATAATAATTTATATAAAATAAAGTTTGAATTTATGATATAATTAAGAAAACCAACCTTGTAATTACGAATACTCTTGTAAAAAAAAAAGAAAAAAGAAAAACCTTTGCGTAAACTTCCAAATTTTTTTTTGAAGTAATTACTAGAGAAAATCCCTGTCTTATTCACAACACGCTCCTGTTTTTTAATCATCATCTTCAAATGCAACTATGCAAGTAATAATTTCTTTGAAGTATGAATTGTAAGAATTAAAGAACAGATCGTCTAAGACCATGATTAACCTGAAATTGTTATGGTGAGGTTTTTAATGGAAGTTAATAAACTGTTTCTTAAGTTAAGAAACTGTTTCTTAACTTTAAACTAAAAAAATTAAGAACCGATTCTTATACTCCTTATTTAAGAATTGGTTTTTAGTTTTTTTTTAGTTAAAAGTTAAGAAATAATTTCTTAACTTCCACTAAGAACTCTATTATAAGAATCCGAATTAATCATGCTCTAAGTGTCTGAAATAAAAAGAATCATACTGTTTTTAATACAAAACGTAAAAGTACGTAGTATTGTTCCGTAGACAAACATTCGCTAACAAGCAGATTGAAAGAGGTGTCCCACTCTTCTAGTCAAATATTCATAATATTTAATTTAGTTCGTAATTCTCATGCCTTGCGCCTATATTAACGCCTAGTGATTATTAATTAAGCAATGTAATGAGTATATGTATATCAAGATAAAAATAAAAAAGATACATATTATTTTAACTAATTTAGTTTTGAGTAAACACAGATCGTTGATGTATATATTTATATATGTTAAAGATAAATAAACATGTACACAAGCTGTCTGCATTACTGATGTTAATTCTTATGTATCCCCCATAATGTGTATTAATTTCGTTTACTTTAGAAGGAAAAATTTAACGGTATAAAGCCATGCATGCAAAATTATATTTGTTGACTTACTAATTTTACGGTCAAATGTTGAACGCTCGTGATAAAACTCATTGACCACTCTTTTGTTGAGGTTCAACTAATACTAATGTTTTCCCATAATTACTAATTAATAAAGCCATTGGCCATTTGGCCCAAAAAAAAACTAGGTAAAAAAAATCACAAATCTAAAATGTAGGTTTGGTACATACAAAGACCTTATATTCATATATGCTAATATTAATTATAAAAAAATCTGTAATATAAAGATTATAAAATACAATATCGGTAAAACGTAGCTCCAATTAGTTAATGTGTACATAGCCCGGCATTCTTTACTCATTTACAACCACGAATCTATTACACTTTTTCACTATAAATACATAAACCAAAATCTCAAACTATATAACACAACATATCCAAAGTAATAATATGAATTGTGTTCACAAATAGATATTAATCATCTGGTTAATAACTAAGAATAAACTAATATGGCAAGTGTTACTAATTTTAACCCCCACTGCGTCTTCTTACTGTTATTATTTCTCCTAGCCGCAACTGCATCCGCAACCACAAGGACATACACATTCCTCCCAAGGCCAAGGGTCGGGTATTATGGTAGCGCGTGCTGGAATGTAGAATCGATAGTGCGTTCCGTGGTCCAGTCCAACTATTTCACAAATCCAGCCAATGCTCCTGGCATTTTGCGTATGCATTTTCACGATTGTTTCGTTCGTGGCTGCGACGGTTCCATTCTCCTCGACGGACCTAACTCTGAGAGAACGGCGATTCCAAATCAATCATTGAGAGGGTTTAACGTCATCGAAGAAGCTAAGACTCAGCTTGAGATTGCTTGTCCTCGAACAGTCTCCTGTGCTGATATTCTCGCACTAGCTGCTCGTGACTTCGTCGTTCTGGTATAACCTATATTTTTTTTTATATTTTGAAGTCTATCGGTCTATTGATTATAACTTTATGTGACGTATTGGAAATATGCATGTATAGACAGGTGGACCATGGTGGTCAGTTCCATTGGGACGACTTGATGGTAGGGTTTCATTAGCATCGAATGTCGATTTGCCGGAGCCTACAGACTCGGTTACGGTGCAGAAGCAGAGGTTTGCTGCGAAAAATCTTAGCACCCTTGATCTAGTTGTCCTTGCTGGTACGTAAATCAATTAATATTAGGCTTCTGCTAGCTTGTTTCAATACTTGAATGTTTCAGTTTTGTTTATATTTGAAAAAAAAAATATGAATACAAATATAAACACCAATTAAAGCTTTTACATTTACATTTTTTTTTATTTTACGTTTACATTATTGACAAATAATCGAGATGAGTGTCTTAAATCTACATATTCTTTTCTTTTCTTAAAATAATTTAACATTATATATATATGCGTGAAAGTATATATATATATATATATATATATATATATATATATATATAAGTTTCAAAAAAATATCGATCAAAAGTTTCAAATCATCAACATTTACTTATTATAATTATTAAAATTATGTTCCAAAAAAATACATTTACTTATGATTTGTATGAACTTTTTGACCTTGGTTTTATACGTAACTTGTGTCGATATTTTTTTATAATAGCATATGATATATTGGTATGTATTTAACGATATCTCTCAATTTCTTTTATCTTAAGTTAGCTAAAATTCATTCTATAATGTATTACAAATTATACAGTTTGAATATTATCTTGAGATACACTCTAATCACATAGAGGGTTTATGCATAAACAGCCGGACACACGATAGGAACGGTCGGGTGTGGTGTGTTTAGGAACAGGTTCTTCAACTACAACAACACAGGAAGTCCTGACCCAACTATCAACCCAAGTTTCGTCCCTCAGATCCAATCTCAATGTCCTCTCAACGGCAACGCCGCTACTCGTGTCGCGCTGGACATGGGAAGTGAAGGCCAGTTCGACACATCGTACCTTAACAACTTGAGGTTTGGTCGAGGTGTCCTTGAGTCTGATCAGGTCCTATGGAATGATCCCGAGACTCGGCCTATTGTGGAACGGTTGTTAGGACTACGGTTTCCGTTTCTGCTGTTCGGACCCGAGTTTGCTAGGTCAATGTATAAGATGAGTCTGACTGAGGTCAAGACCGGTTTGGATGGGGAGATTCGTAGGGTTTGTTCTGCGATCAATTGATCAAATATAAAGGTCAAGCATTATTATATCAAAATGAATAAATAAAATAGGGAGACTATAAAGTTTCAATAGAGTACTCTCCAGCTTTCTATAAGAATAACTAAGAAGTATACAATAAATAAATGGGGGTAAGCATGTTCTATGATAATTATACGTTTTTAATTACGTCGATGCATGGATATGAGGAAACAATAAGTGTTATAGAATAAAGCCTTTCTTCAAAATAAAAAAGTGTCATAGAATAAAACCAAGCAATGTGCAATTATATATTCTCCATGTACAGTATATATTAGAGTTGAAACACGAATTTTGATTCATTTCTCCTTTTTTTAAAAATGTTATCTCCAATTTAAAATGATGTTGGAGCTGAATATGACTTATGAAAAGATAATAAAAAAATGTGAAAGACAATAAAGATATAAAGAAGCAGTTTGAATTCACTGTGCGAAAATGAATCTAATCATTAGTGGAAAATGATTAAAGGAATAACAATAACATAGTGGTTGACAAGCCCTTTTTCAAAAAACAAAAAAAAACATAGTGGTTGACTTTGGTGATAAAGAAAAAAGCAAGTCAATGATATTATGGCATCGAAGTTATCTTTTGGTGGTTTCATTAAACAAGACATCTCTTGTCAACTAAAGGTTGTATATGCTTTTCTTTCTTCTACCGGCTAACATAACCCCTTCTCCAATTAATATCTTCATACATTTATCATAGTACTTCTAAGACCTTGTTTAGCATTAATATATATATATATATATATATATATATATATATAGGTATGTATCAATTTAGATCTATTGTAACACAAAAATCTATATGTTCATGAGTCTTTTACTTAAAATAGAATTCGACGACAGTTACACCCTTTTCTGCCTGAGTTTGTATAAAATATTTGATTGATAACATTCAAGAGAAATAAGTGTTGAGCTTATGAATGTAATAAAAAGTCGACTAAAAACTCTGCATACTTCGTCAAAAGGATAATGAAACGGGAGAGCAAGATACTGATGTTTAGTGGGTATAGACTTGGTCCTATTCAATATACTGGCCAGGCTCATAACATTTTAAGAAATGTATTATAATAAGGTTTTTTATTTGATTATTATATCTTTCTTTTATAACAAATGCAGAGTTCCGCAGAAAATCCAACTGCAGTTAGTTTGGTTGATTTTAAAACACTGATATATCGATTGACATTTTCATAGAGTTTAAGTTACGTTTTAGACAAAAAGAAATGTAACATGGTTTTATACGCGAGAATTATAATATGTTATCAAGAAAAAATATTCAAGCTGATCGAAGACCACAACTTCGATCTAAAAAATTTGTACAAATCAAGTAAGCATACAAGTTGTTATATAACGGTCACACACGTTTTTTCGTCATCAGGAAAAAAGATTCGTCATCAGAAAATTTACACATAAGCAAGGGCTTTTTGCAAATTTGACTCAAAACTCCAAGTCAAACACAAAACTAACCTCTTCTTTAGACTCATCTTGTTTTTGTCCTATTCACCCCACATCTTCATTTTATTTACGAAAATGCCATTTAAATGTTTTTTGAATTTTTTTTCGAAAATGGCATTTTTACTCTCTCAACCTCATCATCTTCAAGTATTTACAACATTGCCATTGCCATGAATACTCCCAACAACCTTGTACAACCCAACAACCTTGTACAACCAAGG